CAGTATGCCATGTATTAATAATTTATCATCTAAAACAGAACCCTTTTGAAAATGAAAAAAATGGTACTATTAATAATTAACCCAGTTTAAGGCTTAAACTGGGACAGTCCCAAGCAAAGACTATGTTCATTTTATAATAATTTATAATGGTAAAGGTAACCACCCCCTAGTCAAGAAAACCCATATATACCCCTTCTAGATCACGCTCCTCTCCCTCCACCCTAGATATAACCACTACCTTTACTTTTACAGTAATCATTTCCCTTTTTAATTGCTGTATCTTTAAATTTAGGAATTCCCTAAAAAAGAGCAAGGACAAACCATATAACACAATGGCACAAGAGTCAGAAGACCTAGTTCTGGTCTTTGTTCTAACACTAGACTATGATCCCATCATGCAAATCATTTAAATATTCTCAGCCTCAGTTTTCTCTTCTGTAAAATTAGAAAAATCAGCATTGCAAGGGAGGTATAAGGGAGTTATTTTTAGTAAAGAAACAACTCTGGATTTTGGCATGGTTTATAGCCACACAAAGCAATGAACTTTCCCCCATAACCATGAGAAATCACCATTTTTAAAGAGTTGCATTGGCTTCATGGGTTCCTGCTACATTACTTAAAAGCAAAAATAAAATACCTCCCTCACAGCATTTCATTAGTTAGATCCAGTTGAAAGGAATAATAAAGTTAATCAAAAAAAGAAAATCAGGACAATTAAAAAAAGATTAACTACGAAGCCTAGAAGCCACACGAATCATTCTGCACTTGCTGTGCGAACCTCTCCTTCCCTGGCAACTTGACATTTGCTTTCTAGAGGATGCTCATTTAATATTCTCAAAGAAAGTTATGTGATGGGAGCTTGTTAACTCTGGGAACAGAGAATAAACTGTCCAGGCCACTTCACCTGACACAATTAGGCTCTGAGTTATATGTCAAATTACCATAAGCAGCTCCAACACTCTTCAGTTCCCTCCGGTGAGTGTCCCTGCAAAGCTCCATGTGCCCTTCTCGCCTGCTGTTTGTAATGAATTAAATATATGTTAGAGTCATAGATTAGGCCATTGACCTGCCATCATTTGAACACAAGGGAAAAAAACCTCACTGTAACTTTGATGAAACTGTGCTAATTTTAATTTTAAAAAAGGGTCACAAACTCAAAAGCCTATAGGAGTCAGTGAAGTTGACTGGGTGGGGAGGGTGACAGCGTATCCAAAGGGGACACATCCTGTCTAAAGAGGAAGCCATAACTCAGCTCTGGCCATCACAACTGTGAAGAAATGCAGGGCTGGTGTTACCAGCACTTCCAATTTTTCAAGAGAAGCCAGAAGTTTATATGTTATATAAAATCTTCTTATTTGTAAATATGGGCAACTAATTCACAAAATTTTAGAAACACTGTGACCTCTACAGAATCTGGACCCATAAATCTGTTTCTAAACCTGGAAGGGAACTTAAGGTCTTCCAAGTTCAACAGCTTCATTTGACAGAGGGGGAATGTGAATCCCAGAGCAGACAAATGATGTTCCTGTGGCCAAATAACTAGTTCAGCAGCAGAGCCAGATCTAGAAAGAATACCTGCTTTCTGTCTCCCACATCACCTTTGTTCCACCATTGAGAAGAAGGCTAATAGCTTTAGGCCTAGTTAAAACGTTAGAGCCGGGCATAGTGGTGCACGCTTGTAGCCCTAGCTACTCAGGAGGCTGAGGTGGGAGGATCCCTTAAGCCCAGGAGTTTGAGGCCAGCCTGGGCAACAAGCAAGGCTCCATCTCTCGAAAAATTTTTTTAAAAGTTAGCAGACCCAAGTCTGGCTTATGGTGTGCCTAGAACATGGATTTACCATTCTACGTTTTTACTCTCTCTGGCCTCTGGACAATGTACATGAGGCAATGTGTTACTATATGAGGCAGTGGAGTAGTATTAGGGCAGAACATTTTTGGTCCAAATTGATTTTCCCCTCACTTGGAGCATATCAGTGCAGCATGGCCCTGCAACATGAAAGGAGGGACTACCATGTTCCCATTGGGGAAGGGGTTGGCATGGTTGTGAGTCCAAGACAAGTAAGGCTCACTCAGCAGGAGAAGATTAAGTACAAAACTTACATTCACGTAACACTCACATTAACCTCAGTGGGAGTTGTGCTTATAGGAATTGCAGGATCAGCAATTGAACAGACTGGAATGAAGCAGGAAAGCTCGAGTCATAGGTTATTACTAGGATTGTATAATTCCAGCTTCATATTTGCAAAAGAGTTCATTTTAATGTAGTGAGATCTCCCTCTACTGACTCTTAGGGCGGTGTCTACAAAAGAACCTTTGTTTGGATCCAAATTGTGGTGTGTAGTTGAAGAAACTTGGCAAATTGTAGAAGTTAGGACAAGTGCCAACAAAGTTTAGCAAATATACTCAGCTGTTTCTGTCCCACTGGTCCATGGGGTTCCTAATATTCCATTTTAGCAACCAGGGCCTACAGCAGTGCCTGATACACAGTAGGTAATTACTATTTAGTGAATAAATGAAAGAAAGGATGAATAAGTTCATGTTTCTTACCAGATTCACTTAGTAGAATTCCCATCCTAACATGGCAGAAGTAGGGACAACCTTGGCTGCTTCCTTGAGCCATGCAAGGAAAGGCCAAGAATCGATAGAGGAACAGGTACTGGGGCTGTGTTGG